TCGTTAGCTCGGGGAGGAGAGGTATGATTCCTCAGCTGGAGCAGGCTCAGAACAGGTGATGGTAATATGCCTCATCAAGCCCAGCATCAGCAGAACTGAGGTGCTGTGTTTGCTCAACTGCCTATGTTGGTTGGACCATGCCTTGACTATTCCAGGGTGCTCTTGGGGACTGTGTGTGTGCAGGACTGACTTCTTGGTTCAGCTGCAGAGGTCGGAACCTGGCCTCACTGGACTTTAGATTTTGGACCTGTTAGCCTGCCAGACTGTGTGGTAGCATCTGCTATGTGATCATGAGACTCCAGTGGGACTTGCTGCCAGGTACCCGGTGGTTCAGAACATAGAATGGGAGGTAGGAACTTTGACAGAAGCTCTGGGGGTTTTCTAGGGAGGCACCCAATTGGGGTCATAATCCAACTATTGTCCATAAAGTCCAAGGCCTATTCCAGTATTTTTAGCCAGGCCAATAGATTATTGAATAGGAGAAAGGGACCAGGGTGGACTTCTCCTTTCTCTGCTCTGTAACTTTGACCATTCAACACAATAGGCACCAATGTGCCAACTGGATAACTTCAGTTCAAGTAGCATATTACATGTCCCAGGGCAGACTAACCAGAATAGCCATAGCTGACCAAGAAACTATGGAATATCTGTGCTATGCTTTTGGGCCTGCATTCCATTTCGTGGTAGATTTCATGTAGAAAATGCTGATCAAATCTCTGTGCAATCTCATATTTGCCATGGCCTTCAAATTGTGCTGTTAAAATGGAAAAACTCTGATAAAAGAATAATGCAATGTGTGGAATGTTTGATTAAAAAGAGGCAATGGAACTTTTTTCAATGTGTATTCAGTGTGATGAAGAACAGAAGGAGTAGAAGTTGAATTCTGTAAATAAATTTAACACAGTAAATAAAAATTATCTTGCAAATACAATTTGCTATTGTTTTTCTTTTCTGTTTAACTTGCAAAGACCCATGTTAGTGTGGTATGGAAGAGAACTTAAGGCTTGGGTCAAAACAAAATAAAAAAATTCCTTCCAGTAGCACCTTATAGACCAACTAAGTTTGTTATTGGTACGTATGAGCTTTCGTGTGCATGCACACTTCTTCAGAGGCTTGGGTGTCACTACTCTTAAGAATTCTAGAAAGGATGATGCTGACATCCCAGACAATGGGGCTGCCAATTGTTGCAGGTGAAATGGTCCCTTAGGAGCCAGTTCATAAGCTGGCAAACATAACCAATCCTTATGGAAATATTTGTACATATTGACTATGTGATCATGGCAATGGGTTGGATGCTGATTGAGGCTGCAGTCCTAATGCCTCTTACCTGGGAGTAAGTCCAATAGAATTCAATAGGAGTTTTCTCTGAGAAGACATGGCTAGGATTGCTCAGTAAGTAAGATGAAATCAATAGGACTTAAGGAAGTTGTGATAAATTTGTCTCATTGGTTTTAGTAGGATCTAAGGGACGCGGGTGGCGCTGTGGGTAAAAGCCTCAGCGCCTAGGGCTTGCTGATCGAAAGGTCGGCGGTTCGAATCCCCGCGGCGGGGTGCGCTCCCGCTGCTCAGTCCCAGCGCCTGCCAACCTAGCAGTTCGAAAGCACCCCCGGGTGCAAGTAGATAAATAGGGACCGCTTACCAGCGGGAAATAGGGACCGCTTACCAGCGGGTAAACGGCGTTCCGTGTGCTGCGCTGGCTCGCCAGATGCAGCTTTGTCACGCTGGCCATGTGACCCGGAAGTGTCTCCGGACAGCGCTGGCCCCCGGCCTCTTGAGTGAGATGGGTGCACAACCCTAGAGTCTGTCAAGACTGGCCCGTACGGGCAGGGGTACCTTTACCTTTACTTTTAAGGTCAACTAACTTAGTCTAGATACAACTTATATTTCCATGCCGTGTGTGTGTGTGTGTGTGTGTGTGTACGCGCGCGCACACACACACACACACACACACACACACATGCAGAGCATTGTTAAGGGAGGTATTCCACATATAAGAGTAAACACAGAATAAGTTATTATATTTTTTCTATGTTATTAATAAAGAAATACAGTCTAATCAATGGTGTAGATAGATACAGTATGATCTCTGGTGTTATGCTGGTATTCTTAAGACAGCTCAGAAGGTAGATAAACTTAAAGCAGATTCCCACACACCTTGCATGTTCAATACAAGCTTGAGCAATAGTGGCACATAAGGAAATGCAGAGTGATAGCAGAAGCATCCTAGAGCTCACCAGAATGAGGGTGGGCAGGGGCCCCAGTCCCCAACCCAGAGCTCCCTGGCCTCATACCACCCACCCCATCTGTCATGGACTGGCTGGATGCAGAGGTGGCAAGCACCAGCTGGGGAACCCCCAGGGGAAGAAGGCTCAGAGCCGGGGGACTAGTGTTGGGTGAGGATGAGTAATCAGAGGGAAAAGAGGTGGCATTCTGAACCCTGCAACATGAAGCCCCTGGAACCCCTCGAGTCTTGAACTGTTCAGAAATTTGGGTGATGTGCAACATTATGTAACTTCATATTGTAAGCTCCCTTGAGCATGGTTTTAACCAGGAATAGGCAAACTCGGACCTCCAGGTGTTTTGGGAATACAATTCCCATCATTCCTGACTGCTGGTCCTGTTAGCTAGGGATCATGGGAGTTGTAGGCCAAAAACATCTGGAGGGCTGCAGGTTGGGGATGCCTGGTTTTAACTATGGAAAGGTGGGAAACAAAAAAATGATGCATGTATGTAAATGTTTAAAATAAATACAGTAAAGCCCCAAGGAACCTAAAAGCTTGTTTTTACTAACCGATGACTATGCATTCTGTCACACTAATTAGAATTAGAACATTAACTTTAAGCATAGACTAGAGTTATTTTGGTTATTCTTTTAAGCTCTACCTGGTTGTGGAGGCCAGAAAGTAGAAGAGACGTACCTTTCATCTAGTGCAATGTTGCTTTAGATTTTTTTTGCAGTGTGACCTGTGTTATCTGACACTGGATTTCTGCTCTTAAGGAACAAAGGATAAATAAAGCTGTCAAGTGCCTTATTGATTACATGTGATTAAGGTATACTTTGCTGCCCTTCTTGTCTTTTGTCTTTTCCATTCGGTTTCCTTTTGGTTTGAATAGGGCAGTGACGACTTTGCCCATGAGATACCATATCATGCTATCACATTTTTGGAAGATTTCTGTAAGTCTGTATTGCTAGAGTCAGGTGGACTTCCAATCCATCGCTTACTACTTCATTTTTAGAAAGAAAATAAACCATCAGTATATATATATATGGAAGTAACATGTTTCCTCCATTATCTCCAATCTGTTTCTTAAACCTGTTGAGCCACCCAAGACCAAAGCAGTCTACCTACCCAGCACTAAAGAATTTGCTGTAAGTTACAAGATCATACAGTAAAGTTTACTAAAGTGTGTGTACATATACACACTGACATTCTGTTGGTTCATACAGAAGAGTGAACATCTATTTAATTGTTAGATCAGCACCTGCCGTTTTAAAAAGATACCAAGAGAAGTGAAGAATGGTGATGATCAAAGTGTGACTCCTGAATCAGATTTAGTTTCCTGTAAATTTTAAGCACTGAAGTACTGGGTGTGTACATGAGAGAGAGAGATACCTCACTATGCCTAGCTCTCTTGCTGTTTGCTCCACCCAGTCCTCGCTGTGTGAAATGTGAGTGCATGAGATAGTTTATATTGCAGGCCTGAAGACCACACACAAGGGAGCTCAAAGCAACCTCCTAATCTTGCTGTACCTCTGTAACCTCTAACAGTGCCTCTCTGAGCCTGTTGGGAGCTGCCCAGTGTCACAAACAGCTGGGCAGACAAAGGGGAGAAGCCTCAAGAGGAGATGCTGCTGCTGCAGCAGAGCTGCAGTGCATGGCTGCGGTGATGAACTGATTACACTCCTTGCAAAGCAGGCCAACTCTGAAATGGAAATAAGTGAGAGGCGTCTTGCCTCATCCAGCAGCTAGGGTCAGCATCACTTCTAGACAAGGAAATGTGAGAGATGCATACTGACTGTTTTCTGCAAGTATTATACTGCTCTACTCTGAAGCCCATTTCATTGCTTCTGCGAAAAGGTGGTGGCTGTTAAGAGAACATTCAAGTATTTTGTCTATAAACTTCACATATCAGCATCCTTTCCCTTCCCCATCTCAGGTGCCCATCTGCAAATGTGCTTTCATGCCTATGTTTTCAAATGTCAGTAGCTTATGCCCAAGTTCAGCAGTGAAATGCTTCACATCTCCACTTTCCTCACTGCCACTTCTACAGTAAACAAATCTGGTCTTCCTTGATTTGTCTCCCGGCAAAGAATGAAAGTGCTTGATCACTGTTCCATATTCACTTGCTTAGATTAAAGCAGTGTGGCTGACACCATTTTCGATAAGGACACACTACCCAGCTACTTCTGACAAGGGGGCAGAAGTAGTGACATTCTACTTCCAAGCCATTCACAATGATTTTCCAGCCAGCCTAAGGGACATAGCAGTAAACAAACTGCTGGATCTTACAGCAGAAAGTGAACTCTCAATTACCCCTGGTCAAGGGTAAACCTATAGCACTGAGAGCGCATTTAGTATTAGTTCAAACAATAATTCAGTACACACATCACATTTTTAAAGCACATTCAAAGCACGCACGCACATGACAGTTTCCTAGAAACTTGTTAAAGATGCTGGGAATTGTAGCTCTGTTAGAAGTAAACTACAGTTCCCAGGCTTCTTGGGGGAGAGGAGAAATGTGCTATGAATGTGCTTTAAAGGTATAGCATGTATGTAGGCAAAGGATCAGTGGCAAAGGGTCAGTATGAATGTACCCTTTATTTTCTGAATACAAACCCATCTTATGGATATTTCAGATGAAATGGGCCAGTGATGTTGTGTATTGTTTACAGAACTCTTATTTAGACAAAATGAGATACACATTTCTATCCTTTTAGTTGGGTACCTTGTAATGCCATCAGCACTATCAAGTCACATATTACAGCATGCTTCATTTATCATCAGTCACTGAAAGCATAATTTATTATTAATGGTGCTTCACATTGGTTGATCATCCACAGAAATATAGACCTGCAAAACTATTGTAACTTAAAAAAACCAACCTTTAAGTAAACCCATATAAAAAGTAATCCCATCTAAAAGGGAGTTCTCCAAACCAATGAATCAGCTCCTTACATGACTCAGGATCTCAATATATTAAGGACCGCTTCTCCCCATACAAACTGGCCCAGACCCTGCACTTGCCCTCCTCCTCTATGTCCCCACTCCCCAAGAGGTTGGGAGGGTGACAACACAAGAACAGGCCTTTTCCGTGGTGGTTTCCTGCCTGTGGAATGCTCTTTCCAGAGAAGCTTGCCTGGCACTCTCGTTACATGTCTTTAGACACCAGGCAAAAACATTCATCTTTATCCAAGCCTTCAGCCATGTGGGTGGGACTGTTGTTATGATTATTTAATGTTCTTAATTATGTTCTTAATGTTGTACACAGCCCTGAGAACTCTGGATGAAGGTTGGTATATAAATTGAATAAATAATAATACCAACATTTATTAATATAGTTATTGTTATTATATTTAGAGCTGAACTTCCTCCCACTCAGACCATGACAGAGACATTTACTTGAGAGTAAGAAAGAATTTTTTGTTCACAGAGAGAATAATTACAGGCTCAGCAACAGCTAATGACTCACAAAAGCATCTCTATTGGGGCTAGGTGACAGGAAAGGCAAGGCTAGTCAGTTTGGGAGCTGCAGCCCAAGTTTAAAAAGTCCAAGATCAGTGCAAGAACTCCATGGAAGCAATGGAGATGTCCCAATAGGTTGGCATGCCCACTTACCAAGCTTTTTAAGTTAGAGGAAGGTGCGCTTATTCACAAGAGTCTTGTGCCTGGAGAGATTTCCAAACCTGCAGACATGCACTGCATCAGGGAAGACTGTGTCTATTCCCACTGCCAGGAATTCTGCCAGGTCCTCAGTAAACAGGCTGTCTCCTCCTCTTCTGACTGCAGTTCCTCCAACCCTAGTGGTGGGCTGAAGCCCTCCCTCGATTCCATGGCTGCACTCCTCTTCCCAAGAGGGAAGAAAGAAAAGAGGAGACATGAATCCTCAGCTGGGGCAGCCATCTCCTGGAAGGGGAAAGCCTCTGTTCTCCAGCCTCAGCCCCCTGCCATGTCATCCTCCTCCTGCTCCTCTTCCTCCATCTCAACCAGCCACTCTGCTGCTGAGCCCAGTGATGCTTGGGACTCATAACAATAGTCCCTTCATGATCACTAGTCAAAAATAAAGAATTATCAGTATATACGTGTAGACTGCCATGTTGAGTGGTATAAACATATGCAAAACAAAACAGCATCAAAAGTCAGAGAAACCTCCAAGGGAGGTGAACTTCAATGCCAGACATAGAGTAAACAAATGGAATTATTTACAGTATAACATTATCATGTGAAATGATATTTTATTCATTATTTAATCACACACTGAGCCTGCCCCATTGATTGTACTAGGAGGTGTAGCCATTTTGTTTTGCCTTTAATCTGCAGTGTACATATGCAAATACTTTGGGTTTATTTAAAATTATTTGTATAGAGCCAGAATGTTAGCTGTCTCCACAGGACATTTTACCCAACACACCTTTACACTTTACAGAAGGGCAAGGATTTATAGGTTGCAAATATCATTTTGTAATGAAATGATCTAGCAGGCATGGGTGCGTTCCATCTGAATGTCCTCTTAATAGCAGGCAGGACTCCCTCCCACTTCCTTAGCTATACTGTACACAAATAAATCCATTTAAATAAGCTCAGTCCGTTCAGTGGCACGGCATACATTAATTCCTGCACAAACATTTACTGACCAGATCCGAGCTCAATGAGAAATGGAACAAAAAGCAAATAGCAAATTCACCAGCAAGGGTACTATAAAAACTTGCCGCAAAAATAACCACAAAGAACCATTTAAATATCCAACCACTTGTACAACCATTCTGCTTATGTTGCAAGTTTTGTAAACAATAGCAAGATAGGCCGCGAGAAGGAAGACTTTGGCCAGCAGGAAACATTTTTGCATGTGGAAGAACTCATATTGCCATGCCAAAAAAAATGCATGGATAGAGCATGCATGTCAGAAAGGCATTGCAGATAAACGTTCCGATCCTGACAACTTCACACATCAGCTTGCCAGCAAGTGTGTCTTCCTTTCTGTATCCTTATTTTTGTACAGGAGGTGTTGACAGAAAACAATAATAAAGTAAGAACTTCCATCAGTGCCAGACCTATTGTTGTTGCATTAAGGGAGGCATTCAAAGCCCTGACTAGGAACAGTGGGATGGAGTGGAATCACCACTGCACCTGAAGCCCTACTGCATGTGCCAGCCAGGAAGGAAGAGTTGGTGGTCCTTTGATTCCCTTTCTGGCTGCATCAGCTGCATGCTGATATAGTAGACGATCTCAAATTAGGTCCAGCACCAGTAAATAGACCAATCTTGGATCCGTATGATCCAATGGCAGCCTTCCTCCACCCTCATCCTTCCCCTGTAATGCCCCGTTTACAGTCCTGATGATGGCTATTGCCTGTGGGAGCACCATCAGTGGTAGTGTACACTTTCAGCAACTACAGCAAGGGCCGTCACCAGTGTTTAGTCCCACTGCAGAGGAGCCCAGAGGGACTCAGAGGAGGGACATCTCTGCTTCATCCTATCCTCCCCACAACAGTGCAGATAAGGGTTTAGGATTGCTCTGCACCAGTGAATGGTAAGTGGGTATGGGTAGTCCATACTGAAGTCTTTGCTCAGTCAATTTAGGCTAATTGGATTGCTTTGGAATATGCTGTTTGTTTATAGGCTAATCGTGCAGGCATAATTCAGGAAAAGCTACTCATGGCTGTGTCCCATTGAAATCAACGGAATGCTAAATCAAACATGACTGCAAGCTCATCAGGACTCCAGTATTTTATGTGTGATGGACTAGTCTGACTGAGCTGCACCTCTTGACTTGGGAGTTTTGACAGGACTTGTTTTCATGTGGTTTCTTGTCACTCAAACTGAATGGCACTGATAAGACTCAAACCCTAAGACAAATATGGTCTGTGAAATGTCATTGGAGGTCTATCACAAATCTGGAATGCTAAGTCAGGCTTTGCCACCTGGTAATTCCAAACCTACTGTTACTCTGTTCCCATGTTAAGAGAGTAGGATTGTCACAAACATTTACCTTTCTTGGAAGTGGCAAAGACGAAGGATGTTTCAGCCTAATTAATTAAGGTGGGGGGGTTGGGGGGGGAGAGTCCTAAAGAAATTGTAATGCATTGAAATCCTGGGAAGTTAAGGACTAGTGAGACCTTGCAGAACTTCATAACAGGTGCTCAGAAAACATGCAGGATTTCACTCTAAGTCGCAGGCTAGTTGAACACACAGTCATTTTCTCCAACTGGTGGTGAGGCCTTTGGGGTAAAGGAACACTTCTAAGGAAATATATGGGGTGTGGTGTTTCCTGTGCTATTCTTCGGCACATTTCCATCTGTAGAGAGGCATGCCAGGTGAAGCAGTTTTGTTGCTGATTCCTATCTCGATTTCTGCTGATGGCATATTTTGCTGTAACATCCCCACTGGAACAATTACATGCATGATCTCCTTCCCACTCTACTCTATTGCCCTCCTCTAATAAAAATGTTTGTAAATATTCATTGTCTCAGAATGAACAAAGATTTTCAGTTGGCACTTGTGAGGAGTAAGCTTTGCCCCCCCCCCCCCGTTTTTGTTTTCCATTGGATGAGCAGATCATCTTTAATACCTCTAAGTAACAGTCTACAAGTTATATTCAAAAAGCCATATTTTTGCACATTATGGGAAAGTAAATCCTCAGCAGATAATATTCTAACCCTCTTTGATCCCATGTCACCATCTTTGCCTGTAGGAAAATGAAAACAATATTAGCTTCATTTACTGTAGATGCTTCTTCCCGTGACCATTTAGATTTGCCTAATTACTTGCTCCTCCCTTCCTTCTTCCTGGGCAGGTGGAGCAACATCTGTGAACATAAGATGGATGCTGTCAGTAACAAATGACTCCTTGTGATCAGTTCACGTTTTCCTTAGTGCTCCTTGCACAGATCAGAACTGAATACAAAGTAAGAGAAACATTAATTAGTGCCCATCCAACAGCAACTTGACAGGGCTATGATTTAGCTATAAATACGTCTGTTGAATTGCAATTCAATATTTGAGTTCCTTACTTTTCTTTCATTGTACCAAATTGATTGGGGAGAATAATAAAGTCTCATCGAAGGATGCGGAGAGCAGGGGGAATAATGAAGCCTCTTTTCCTGTCACTCCTACATTTTAAAAAAATAAAAGAAATCTCTTGACTGTGACTGTCATGACATCATCTACTGACATACAAATTGCTTAGTGATTTGAAAAGAAAGACATATTTGTAAACAAGCCACCTACTTGATACTTCGATTCATAAAGATAAGACATAGGCTATTCATTTTCCTTGAAAAAAATCTAAATAAACCTTTTCCCTATGTCAGCTCTCCTGTAATGCTAGAATATTAGAACAATCCTTATACAGTATATATGCATGAATGTGGGTAGATACTACCATGAAGACACATGGCACTTTGCACAGGTTTAAAAGCAAAAAAAACAAACAAACCCAAAACCCAACAACAATAAAAATGAACACTTTCCTACTCAAGGAACTTGGGGAACTTGTCTGCTGTTGAAAACCTTATAGCTTGGCTAAGCCTTTAGCAACAGATTCACCCTAGTTTCTAGTAAACAACAAATAAGTGTTGTGCAAAGAAGAGAGGGAGAGTGGTTTCCGTCTTCCATACCAGGGCTGACCAGTTGATGAGATGAGGTAAGGCAGTTGCCACAGGTGGCAGACCCAGCCTCCTCCATGCCTGCCCATGGCCTCCTCATCTATGCTTGCCTGACACCTTAGCCTCCTCCAAACTGCTCCTACTGTTCATTCAAGCACATAAGTTCATCTCTGACTTCACTGCTGATTATGCCCACTGCTTAAGTGTCATGCTGAATGTTTTCTGCCCGCTTTGAAGCCACATAGAACCCCATTTTGCACCACTTTGGGCTTCCAGGCTGCAAGTAGGCAACTAGAGTGAGAACACTTGTGCAGCAGCAAAGCTCATTAAGTTTTTGTCAGTTTTGTCACTTGAGAAAAAGTGCTTTAGACCTTTGGTTTGCTTGAAACCTCATAGATCTCAGATTACAGTACTTTCTTCTGCTCAGAAGAGATTGTGGGGCTGCACAAGATAGCTTCCTATTCTAACTGCAGTAAAGGAATTTCCCTCTGTTTGACAGGCAAGATGTTGTTTTACACTTGGAAAGAAACACAACACAATAACATGAGAAGCTCTGTATTTCCCCTGTTTCTTGTGCACATGCAACCTTATCTGTAAGTTAAAACTTTGTTGACTCTCTTGGCTAACAACACATGATGCTAATTGCATCACTCGCTATGTTTTGTTTTCTATTCAGTTACAGCCATGACCACAACAATGTTCACTGGAAACACAGTGTATCAGAAGGGGAGGTTACACACAAACACACACAGAAGTTGAGATCAAAACTCTTATTTGACACACTGTATTTAGGCCTAGGGGAGAAAACAGTCCTATAGGGGGCAATATACATTGTGATCATGATGAAAGGAAAGGTTAAACCTTATTTTACTAATGAACATTGCCCCTTATGCCTGTAATTAAGGTGGAGGAGCACAATACCACATTTGCAAGTGATACCATTAATATAATGTGTAGCTAGACCTATGGAATAAAACATGTTGAAATGGCATTTGTAAATGCATTCAATTAGAATGAATTATGGATAATGGGCTTGATGTGAAGAATAATGGGCACATCTCATCCTGAGTGGAACAGGACATTTTAGATGTTGCTGCACGCAGATTTTACACTGTTGCACCTTAAAATGATTTTCCAGTACCTCACACCCTGTATGGTGAATATTGTCAAGCTGAAAGAAAGTTCACCAGGATAAACATGTGTTCACAACAGATAATGTTTTATTAGAAGCAACCAAAAAGCAACTCAGGGAGTTGTCCTTCTGTCTAGCTGTTTCCAGGCATACAATGTAAATTCTTAAACTGCCTTTTGGAATCTGCCACCTTTAAACTTCACACACGTTTATTAATATTTTAAAGTCCAATGAAGCTTAACTTTGAAATTCTGTGAGATCAAAATGGCTGGTGATGAAGGAGTACTTTGCTCTATATTTATATAGCTTTTCTTTTATCTTTTGGAGTTTATGGTAGCTACTGATTTTCCCTGCATCTTTTATATAAATTAAAAATGGTTTGACAAAGATAATCATTCACTTTTTCAGTCAAAGCTTGCCTGAATATATGCAAAATACCTGGGATTGGATAATAAATGTTTGTCCAATTCTAACAATGGCCCATTGCATAATCAAAAGAATCTCCATGTTGGGTATTCTTATCTAGTGTCCATGCTTTCAATGCAACAATCTTTGTCTATAGAGATGGTAACAGATATCTCCATCTGGGGGTCCCAATACATTTTCAGGAGAGTTACACTTTAGAAGGCAAAATGAACCTGGTGTCTCATTTTTAGGGTCCCTAGCTTTGTTTTTCAGTTATATGACAATGAGAAAAGATAACAATAGCAGAATATCTTCATTGTGATGCTCTTCACAGTGCCATTTAGAATTCTTAGAGTGGATGGGAGTGATCCAACAGACATTGTGTGCTTGGACTGGATAAACCACAAAAAGCAGAAAGTAGAAATAAATCAACAGTTCTCAAGGTTGAGGCATGTAAGAAGTGGGATCTATACAAGGACTGGGGCTTTTAAACTTGTTCATAAATAATCTAGAGTTAGAGATAAACAGTGAGATGATCAAGTTTGCTGAAGACCCCTCAAATTGTTCAGCATGGTAAAAACCAAGAAGAATCACAAGGAGCTCCAAAAGGTTCTTTCCAAAGTGAGGGAATGGCAATTATTCTTTGAAAATTATTTAGTGACTGCAGTTAGTGCAGAACACAGTTTCAAGAATAATGTAAACCAGATAATGGGACCATAGACCACCTATTCTGGCCCAGGGGCACTGGCTGCTCATATAGTTGCAGGCCCAATTCAAAAATTTGGTCTTAACTTATGAAGCCTTACACTGAGCCTCTTGGGCTTGCTGATCAGGAGGTCGGCAGTTCGAATCTGCATGACGGGGTGAGCTCCCATTGCTCTGTCCCAGCTTCTGCCAACCTAGCAGTTCAAAAACACACCAGTGCAAGTAAATAAACAGGTACCATTGTGGTGGGAAGGTAAACGGAATTTCCGTGTGCTCTGGTTCCGTCACTGTGTTCTGCTGAAATAGAAGAAGTTTAGTCACATAACCCAGAAAGCTGACTGTGAATGAATGGCAGCTCCCTCAGCCTGAAGTGAGATGAGCGCCTCACCCCATAGCCACCTGTGACTGGACTTAACCATCCAGGCTTCATTTACCTTTTACCTTTACCTACCTGACAGAATGTCTCTCCCACCTTCAACCTCCTCAATGGTGTTTCAATTTTTTGTGTACTTTCTATTTTCTGTAAGTCGCCCCGGGCCTTTATTGAAAAAGGCGACTAAGAAATTTAATAAGGAATGATAAATGTTCACACACAAAACCTGCTGACTCCTACTGGAAGCATTAAAAGGAAACACACACAGTGTCTGAAACTTTCAGTGAAAATTCATTTCTTCGTGCCAAGCAAGCAGCAATGAGAATTCTCTTGGGGGAGCTAAACCAATCCGACTGCAAGCACTTTGTTTCTGGCTCCATCATGCCTAATGTCCATAAAAGATCAAGGTTTGCCTTCAGAAGAAAAGCACGTTCAGATTCTGTCCTTGTTACTATGGCAGCTTCACAAAACCAGTTGCACATGGAACATTGTGCTGAATTGTTCTCTTTACTCAAATCGTATTTGGAATAAGGTTAAGAATCAACAGTTATAGGGGCAATTAAGCTGTCAATTAGTGGAGTTTCTTTTCTTTTGCAGAGCATTAAAAGGGGGGGGGAGAGAGAAGAGAACTGTTTAAGTTTCCTCGGAGTCTCAACTGTGTGAACACTAAATTATGTGCAGTCTATAAAGACCTTTTAGAACAAAGACTCGAAGCGGCCCTTATAAATAATTTAAATGATTTAGATAATTAGATTAGAATGCAATATACTTGTTATCTTTTTTCAATAATTTCAGACATGACTGCATGCTGTAATGCTGCAGTTAATGTCATTTCTTTTTTAAAGCTGGAATGGAGCTGTAGTCTAAGCATTGCTAGCAGTGAGGTGATGAAACGCCTGTAGTAACAAAGTTATCTGAATTTCTCAGTTGTCCAAATATAGCATTCAGATCTCCTTGCCCAGCCTTCCCACTGTGAGCCACCATGGCAACAGAATGGGGTAGGGGTTTCGAACACCACCACCCAGACACAAACATTGAAGGAATGTGTGAGGGATGTCTTAGGGGTATTCAGGCTAACCTTATTTCCTCCATATCCAGCAGCCATACCCCACTTCACTGCATCAACACATTCAGCATACAAAGTAAGAGGCTCTATTGTACTCCCAAAGTATGCATGCAGCGTTCATAAGAAGACCCCTGCCAGATAACACCAAATGCCTATTTTTTTCAGCATCCCATTTCCCCCAGTTACCAACCAGGTGGCTATGAGAATCCCACAACCAGAAAATGTGAGGGCAATCCCTCTCTTCTGTTTTTCCCCAGCAGCAAGTATTATTCAGGGGCATACTGAGGACTAGATGAGGTATATTGGGAAGGTTCTGCTTTGGGGTGATTAAGTAGTTTTCCCATACCTGTTGCTATGCAATTCTCCTAGCTTCACATAGGGTCAACTGCCTTCCATCTCCTAGTCTATCATCAATTCCTTTCAACACCAAGACTTCCAACCATGACAGCGTGCTAAGATGTGTGGCTCTTTTGTACTGCTAGCATCCATCCACGAATTACCCAGATCATTTTATTTGTGACCTTAAGCCAGAGTGAAGCTTACATTTCCAGAGATGAAGGATGATAGAGGCAATCTGCTGCACCACATAGTCACTCTCTGAGGGAGAAAAATGCACAAAAACCATTTGGAAAGTCACCACATGCAAAGTGATTTAGACACATTCCTGAGTCAGAACAGGAATCCTTTGTGCGCAGTAGCTGGCTGGGTGCTCCCTTCTGGAAAACCTCCAGAGAAGCTTGCAGTAATACAGCTGGGATGTTGCAAATACATGGATAAGCCATCCAACATCCATTTGCGAGAGGTGCTAATGCAGCGTTACACTGTTCTGAGGTAATCAAATGTCAGCCTGGCAAAAGCTCTGATGTGATCACTAAAAGATGGGCAATGTTCCACAAGTACTCCCAGGATCTCTATCCCTTGGAACTGGGAATAAGTGCATATCGGTTGGAAAGAAAAGAGCAAATAAACTTGCATTTTTAAATCTCTCTGGTCCCCATGGTCTTTAGGAAGGAAGAGTTGGATTCAGCCTTGTTTACACACACCTCATAACGGTTTTGATCAGAAGGTTTGTACATTCAAGGTCACTTTGCAAATGAGTTCCTAGGCATTGTTTTAAATTGCTTATGCTGCTTCAGTGGTTTACTTAGATGGTTGGGCTGGTATAGGAAGCATTAAGAAGCATTTCAGCTCTAAAAACATTAGATATTGGCTTTATTTTGGTGTGTCTGTGATAATGATTGTAAGCGGCCTCGAGAAAACTTATGTTTTGAAAGGTGACATTTAGAAATAAATAAAATGCTGTTACAAGAAACACAAAAGATAATGTCAACCATAAATGGCCTGCTTCTGATCCCTACAAATTCTGTATTGATACTTTTTTGTAATTGATTCATGAGCTGGATAATGTCATGATTTTAATTGGTGGGTTTACGCTGTATTTTAATGTGTTTTTATATACCACCCTGAGAACTTTTGTTGAAGGACAGTCTGAAAATATTAATGATGAAGATAATAACAATAATTAAACAAGTTATCATAAATTGTTGCACACATAGGCAAAATAAGTACTTGCCCAGACATAACCTTGAATATATTAGTCTAGGGAAAATATACATGTGAATCATTTCTGATAATATTGGTTGCATAGAGGCAAAACAGATAAATGAAGAAACATTAGTGTAGTAACTTAAGTAATAACTACCTAAAATGGAACCATCAGTTTCAATGGGACCATCCATGGGCTCATTCATTTCAGCAGAGGGATAACCAGGAGCTGCCCTCTACTTATGTGGTATAGATTTACCGGTAACATTTTCAGTTGCTTATGTTTTTTTAAAAAAAATTATTAAAGATTTTCTTGGTTTAAAAAGTACAGGCATTGTCTCTTTTCTCAGGTTGAAAAGTCTTTTCTATATATCAGTTACATAAGATGTGAGACATTAGTGTTGTATACAGAAGAAGGTCGGGGAAGGAGAAGAGGGAAGGCAAGGAGGGGGAGAAGTGGTAAACATATTCTTAGTGTGTATGTGGGGTTTCTATATCAGCATCATTTGGGTAGGTTCCCTTTCCGTTTGTCTATTATATTCCCTTGGTAGTGAGAGAGGTTGAGTGGGGGACCCCCAGAGTGGGTTGGTTGTTTTTAGTTGGTTGCCGTGAGATTGAGTGGGGTTTTTTTTGGGGGGGGGGAGTTCCAGTTCCTTATGTGACAAGGAAACAGTTGATTATTTGTCCAAAGATGGAAATGACTAATGGAGCTCTTTATTCCATCAGCATCTTCCACGAGGCAAAATGACTTTTACTCTGATAAATCCAGAATAAGAGACACACACTATCATGAGCCATTTCTCATAGCTTACGTTAATGCTTTCATATAGCTCAGCATTTGCACATACTCCCTTATACTAAGCACATAGGTGCAAATTGATTTCCCCTTAGTCACTGCCACCCGTGGAAAATTGTTACCATTTTTTGTTCATAATCAACACATACCACATAGGAGAAATCCCTTCTCCTTTTGAAAAATTTGAAGAACAATGACAATTCCCTGCCAATTAGCTCAAGGTAAGAAGAAAGACCTCAGGAAAGCAAGAGACAGGTGCTATTATGGAAGATACACTTCCAGTTAATATTTGTCAGGTATTGGACAATCTGTTCTGCAACTCGACTTTACCAGCGAGCATCGCTCAGCTACAGTAGCTCAAATGGGAATGGTAATAAGTGCTAAATGAAACATGACACCACATCATCAGACAATAGCACTTCCCTTAGCATGTTTCCATTATGTTTCAAACCCTGATGACCTATTCTGCAAGAAGGTCAGAGCCTAGACAAAAGATGGCAAGGCAGAGCCTCAGGAACTATTATTTTCCAGTAAGGCTTCTTTGAAAATTATTGAGAGTTGCTGATGGAGTGACAGAAGGTGCTGGCTGGACCAAAGGTGGCCACATAGCCAGCAAATCTCACTTGAGCAATAGCATCAACAAGGGCACAGGAGCACGAAAAGTGAAAATTAGAGAGAAAGCAAGAAAGAGAGCATCTAAATCAACAATGCCTTGCAAAAGAGAGTTCAACAATAAATAGATTGAGGCGAAGAGAAGACACCTAACACAGCAACAGACATTTCCCCCTTCCCTCATAAATCCAGGTGCTAAAATCTAAAAGAGCCCATGGTATGAGCCACTTCTTGGTGACTCAGGAAGGAAAAGCTGATATATAGAAGCTTTGCAGCTCCCAAGAAGATGGTAGAAGATACAGGTAGACCTTTTGAAAAATGGTGAAACTGCTGGTTTTATGGCTGATGTAAGTTCCAAATTGTAAGTGTCAAGGAACAGTGACACCCAGTACAGTGACACCCAGTAACCTGTCATCAATTTTCAGGAGTCGTATTTCTAAATTTCTGCAAGGTGCTCTTCTCTTGCTCAGACTGACTTAAGCAAGGCCTGCAGCTGCTGGGATCTGTTATGCCCTGCTGTAAACAAAGAGAAAAGGAATTAGCAGTTCACTGCAGCATCCAACAATCTGTTCCAAGGAAAGATCTGTTGAAACTCAGCTAATGCCTCCCACTGCTCCACTGAGATGACCCACCATAGCAGTTAAAGGCTTAAATCCACATCTAAAAACTGTGTGAATAAGGGAAGACTGCATACTGCAGAGTTTTCCACAGCTTCCAGCCTATAATCTTGCCTTCAGAAATATTATCCATAGAGCAACAGAAGACTCAGAAATACAACACATTGAAGCAGGTCTATAAACCCCCCAGATGGCAAGCAATAGTTAACAGCCACAAGAAAGAAAAAACTTACCTTAGGCAAAAGGTAAAGCTTACGTAGCCATAGTTAAACCCACAAAATGAAACAGAAGTGACTAGCTAGCCATACATATGAAACTAGAACAATATGGAGCAAATCCCAGGTTGGCATTTTGGCATGTACCGTATTTTTCCGTGTATAAGACTAGATTTTTTTTTACCAAAAAATTAGGTTTGAAATTGGGGCTCGCCTTATACACGGGTAGTGCTAAGGCATGTTTTCTTAATTTGGAGTCCCCCAAAATAGGGGGCGTCTTATACATGGGGGTGTCTTATAGACGGGAAAATATGGTACATTAACAGAAATAAGGTGTGTGTTTTTCTATAATGAAATCAACAACATTGTCTACACCCAAGTAGTCACAACCATCCTTGAGCATGCAGTCATATAGACTTAATAGTTTATACTTGTATGTTTAGCATTCACGAATAAACATCTCTGTGCAAGATTTTCAGCAATAAGCATCTTTATGTCTCATTTACAAGACCTTTTCCCAATCACAGACCAGGGATCCTGTAATGTACCAGAAAAAGACACAAACACACAAACTGCACACTTAAGAACTTGGTTAATTATATATTTAAATTGTTCCCTTTCATCATTATCACCAATGGCCAGGTTTGCTCATTTGTAGAGCAAGGCATCTTTTCAGACTTTTTAGAGAATTGATTCAATTCAAAATTGGTCATTTATTCTCTGTCTTCTGGGTTGATACTTTTATGATGTTTCAGTGATTCCATTGTACACCACCATTATGTATATATTTGATGATCTGGAGGACCATAAATAATAAACATCTTGTGTGGTATATCCAAAGTACAAACAAGTAGCATGGCTTCCTTTCAAAAGGAAAAACTAGATTCAGAATTATTAGATGCTTTGGGAGACAGGCTTTCAGGTGTTAATGTGTGTGTGCCTATGTGCTAATTCATGCTGCGTAGTCCAGCTACAAACAAGACACACACACACAAACAAATTGTTCAATTAAGGTCAAAAAGGAAAGAGCCTGAAATGGCTCCATGGCAAAGCGCCCAAAAAATCTGGCACACACATCATTTTGTAGGATGCCTTTTTTATTATCACACATTTTGGTGCCTGAAGTAGAAAATCCAAATCGCAGTCCCATGGTGCTAAATGTGATAGATAGCTGCATTCCTTAACACTCTGGCACAAGTAGGAATGCCTCATAACTGAAAACAGTTGCTTATTTTATTGGTTTCAAGTTGTAATGCAAATAAAACAACACTTACAGCCACAGACCCGCTTCTGTCATGTGCCAGAAGGCACATGTGGCCCTCAGGCCATGCACCCATAGTTTGTACCCTCCCTCTAGCTGCTCATAAGAATATTCCCTCTCCCTTCCCATAATCTTCCACACACCCCACTCTGTTTTAGAGGATGGGGAGCAGGGATTGTGGGAAATTGTCCCCTTTCATTCCACCTTCAGATCTTTTCCATCAGCAGAGCAACACCAACTGGATTCCACCCTATACTTTGTATTATTTTTCACCTTCCTCACGACTGAGGAATTACCTCTTCTCTTTCTACTGTATTTCCTTCATCTGGTTTTGTAAACAGCTGAATTCCTTAACACTCTGTAATGAGTAGGAATATCTCATAGCTGAACACAGTAATTTATTTTATTGATTTCATGTGGTAATGCAGTGTTTGTAAAATTGTGCTTTGCTTATACACAGCACTACAGGCTATTTTTGAGGGAACAAAGGCAGAGCCCTTCCAGTGAGTCAGAGTGTCTTGATTAAATTATAAGGAGTTTCCTCTCAGGTT